GACAGAAGAGGCCAGTCGGGGAAAAGATGCACCGTGCCATGAACCCTGTGAGAAAAGGCCCTACACAACTGCTCAGCGCTCCAGCCGAAACCCTTAGTAGTAGTAGTAGTAGTAGTAGTAGTAGTAGTAGTAGTAGTAGTAGTAGTAGTAGTAGTAGTAGTAGTAGTAGTAGTAGTAGTAGTAGTGACTAGTGGTCGCAATAGTAGTAGGCGCCCCCCTCCTACCAAGCTGCTAAAGACTTCTTGAATCTACCAGGAGTACAAGTAGTACCAGGATTGGGAGTCGCTCAGGCATCCAGAAATAAGTGGGCCATCTGTACGGGCGACGTGGGAAGCGCCTTCCTTCGAGCGCCAGTTCCAGCTGGGACCCTGCGAGCGCTGAGACCACCGGCGTTCTTGGTGCGTGCAGGTTAGGCACAACCGGGAGAAGTCTGGTCAGTGCCTATGGCGCTGTACGGATTCCGCAGCAGTCCGAGATGGTGGAGTACCCGCAGAACAATTTTTATGCAACAGGCGACGACGCCTAATGGGCTTACGTTCCATCACGGAGTCGCCGACTCTGAGTCGTTGCGCCGAGGGAAGATGGCTGGCGGAGACATGGGAAACGGCCCTTTGCCAATATGCCTCTTATGTCTTATGCCTCTTCTACTTCTAAGTGAAAGCAGCACAAGCAGTCACGGCGCACAAGACGTCATTTTGCCACGGCGGGCTGTGCAAGAAAACGGACTCAAGGGGCGTCCTCTTGAGAGGTCAAGGCCGCCAGAGAGGCCAGAAGGATGCAATCCAACAGCGCGCGACTCTAGCCGAATGTTAGCTCAAGTTTTACACTGGTAAAGTTTTCTTTTGGATTGCAACTCTCTGCCTACTGCTTTAAGGTGGCCGTGGGCTCTTGAAGCCACTCGAAAAGCGCGAAAGAAGTTCCGGGCTGTGTTTGTTGATGTGTGGGCATCCAGTGAAAACGGTGGGACGAAACGACCTCCTGCGTGGCACGGATATTGACAAGAGAGAATTGTCACTCAAGTTGGGAGTGTCACTCACGACTACGTCGTACAGCGACTTGGCGTCGGTGGAGCCGAGGTTGTTGAGTCTGTAGCCAACCTTGTGCGCGGGCACGTTGTAGAAGATCTCGCCCAGGTACATGTTCAGGTAGGCACTTCTGTCGCAAGCCTCGTCAGCTGCACAGCTCTCCGAGGCGAGGGTGGAGCGGCACACTCTCTGAGATCGTGATGACTTCCAGTCCACAATCATCGCCGGCACCGGCCTTTGAAGCACAGAGGCGTGGCAGAGGACCACGAGGGCTCCACAGGGAGCGACTCTCCTGTGCGTTCGCCCAGCTGGCATCGCTGTAGGCCAGGAGGACTGGTGTTCAGGGCTCGTTCGTGTCTTGTCGGTGTAGGCAAGCAGCCAAAGCGTCAATACCACACCTCCGTATCTGGCAAGGAGAACAAAAGGAAACCATCTTAGAAAAACCCCCACCGCCGCGAGGCAGCACACGACAGGCAGTCAGGCCGGAGCGGTGCTATCTAAAACCCAAAACAAAACAACCGTCCAAGCGCAGCCAGCGCCAGCTACGTCCCCTGCAACTAGACCCTAGAGGTGTGTCAAGGAGAAGGCGGGAGGCAGTCGGTGCGCACGAGGCACCAGCTAAGCCAAGTCCCGAGCGACTGCTGCAGCAGCCCTTGAGCCTCGGCCAAAGGAGTCAAACTCCACCGGGGCCGCCACGAGTGAGGGCCAACCCTCGGGGCCGCGGTTGCCAGAAAACGGTGAAGAGATTGGCAAATCTCACCCTGAAAAGGAAAGAGAGGGCGCCGTGACATCGCGGAAACTGGAATTCTGGAAGCGGCAAAACCATGCAGAGTGCTCAAATTGACCAGAGTGCGATCCCCAAGGACAAGAGGCCTACCTAGAAGTTTGCCCAACTGCCCACAGGCAGTGCGGAATTCATCAGCCTTCTGTCCCCAAGGAACCTCGACACCGAACACGGCATCCAGAGGCGCCCACTTCAACTCTCTCGCAGCGTGACACTTACGAACCTTATCCCGAACCGGAATGCGGACACCCATCGAAATTTCGAAACTGGCAGCCAATTCGACCCAAGAAATCACCTGCTGGTCATCCCGACCAGGACTCCACTTCAGAAGGGAAGCCCAAAGCAAAACAAAGCGGACAAAGAGACCTTTCCCCGGTTTGGCATGATGGCACCACTTAGGAATAGCTTCAGGCAAGTTCGGGAAGGGAGCTTGAACAACCCATGCCTCATCTCCCCAAGAGGGCAGGCAGCATGCCTGTTGAACACGTGCCAGCACACCCGTGCGTTTACGAGGAGCAACCTCCTGCAATCTATCCATAGCAGAGCGTTGCACCGCAACGAAAAGCTTCTGGATGCAGCGCGAGTGAGTGCACCGCCGCCTGTGCTCAGCGCGGAGCCGAGTCCACTCTGCACAAAGAGTTGCAGCGGCTTTGGCAGCCTTGTCAGCAGCATCATTGCCCTCAGCCAAAAGCGGCGCATGCGGATCACTAATCTTAGACAAAACCTGGTGGGCCTTAACCTTAACAACCCTGATAACCCTCCCCTCGGAGCGAGCCCGGCTGGCTTCAGCATCCAAAAGCTTCCAGAGATCGCCATTTGGCATAAGCTCATATGGCAGCTCGCGGAACTGGGCCCATGAGCACAGCGTAGCCTGCCTGCCTGAAGCGCCGTTCCTGCGGAAGGTGATCAGAGCCGTCGACGAAAGCATTCGCCTCCTCCGACAAAATGCCTGAAGGCGGAGCTGGCGGCGGCCGGATGTCAGCTTGAGCACGCAAGATCTTCTCTTCAGCCCCTTGTACGAAGAGGGCATAACGCTGAGTGATGAGCGGCATTTGCCTCAAGAGAGCAACCGCATCAGGGTGGGCATCTCTAACCTCTTGGAACGGAGAGCATTCTAGCCAGCGATGTTCCAGACCATCAGGCAAAGCACCGTATTCGCAAAGGCGAGCCTCTGCCGTACCCTGCTTTTCTCTGCGGCCTTGCTGCCGAAGCTGCCACCTGGTGGCACCTATTAGAACCGAGTCAAGTAGGCCCTGGTCAAGGGGATCCAAAGAGTTACGCAACGCCAGTGTAGCCTGCACATCGACACACACACACACACACACACACACACACACACACTTCAGGGCCCTGCAAGTCCCTCATATATATTTGCGGCCCCCGGCATCACCGGACCAAACATCCGCGAAATCTTCCTCAAAAATGCTTCGCAACCTGACGATGCAAATGCTGCAGAAGTGGAAAGAACCAACCCTGCGACGTGTGAGCCAATTGCCCTCAAAGCAAATTTCCCATCCTAGAGCATCACAAACCTCACTAAACAGTAAGGCCGGGCCCACACCGGAAGATGTGTGGCTGCGGGCAATAAGTAACGACTGCACGCTCTCAAACTCTTGAGGATACCATGCGATGTATTCCCTCAGCGCCAAAATTCGACGCCAGTACAAGAAACCCATAGGATCCGTACCCGGATTCAAAATGTTGAGTGTGAGTGCATTACAGGCAAACTCACGAGTAGCACCCAGTATGGCTCTGGCAGCAGAACACCGCAAGTCCTTGACGGTGGTAGCACTAACCTTCGCAGCTTCACAAGCGTGAAAGGCCTGGGGCCAGTACTTGCCCCGGACAATGGCAGCCTTGATGGGCTTCCGAATGGGAGCTAAAGCAAGGCGACAAAGCTCTCCCTGAACCTCATGCACACGGTCAGCACCAGACCGATTGCACCGCATCTTGGAAAAATTTCGATACGCCCCCAACTCCCTAGCATGAAGTTTGCACTCTAACACTGCTCGCCTGCAGAAGACAGCACCTGCAAGTCTCTACGAACGGCAGGCGATGTGGACCAAACGAACATCTTCTTTGGAGCAAGCTGAAGCTGCAGCAAGGACGCAAAGTTTTCACTGCGTGCGAGAAGGGTTTGCAGCACGTCAGGATCGGGCACCTCGGTGATGACCTCAAAATTATCAGCGAAAACCATCGGTTGCACATCAGAGGGCTGAAAGTGAGTGCAGACTCGTCGCCAGGAGCGAACTGCACATGGGAAGCCCACATCCATCCGCACAAAATCATAGGCACAATCGAAAGACTATCACCCTCGGGAAAACCCATTGAAAGTATGAAAAAAATTTCTGCAAGCCTCCTGAAAACAGCGTTGCATCCCAGTGAGAGAGGCGCACGGAGGAGACCCCCCGGAAAAGACATATCTGCCATGATTCGAAAGAATGGCTCCCGCAGGAGTGCGTTGAAGGCCTTAGCTACATCCAAAACAAGCCCACTAAGGGGTCTGTGATTAACTATACAATCCTCAAGATGCCATGCCAGCTTCAACCAAAGCTTGCGACACGAACGGCCTCTCAGAAAACCTTGCACACAGTCTGGAGCAACCTGTGAAAGTTGGCGGACGAGCTGTCTGCACCGAGCACTGGACCAAACCCGACACAACATTGGGAGCAGGTTAATCGGCCGCTGCTTAGTGGGAAGGGGACTACTACAACCCTCCTCAACTTTAGGAGTGAGCTGCATCCACGCGAAAAGCTGGCTTTCATGCCATTGTCCTGTGCGCTCAAATTCCTGAAAAACAGCCGTGAGCTCCTGAGAAGGTGGTCAAGGCGCCGTGGTTGGCGAGCGAGTTCACCGCCGAGAGCCCGGGTCGCGATTGTCCGCTGAGCCACGGGAAGATTATCGGGCCAGCACACATAGTCGTAACTCGTACCTCGTCGAGGTATACGGGCTTGTCACTGGTGTCGTGGGAGGCCGAGAAGTGCTAGACACCGACTGTGGCTGGAGGGCTGGTGGTACAGGAGGTTCATCACCGAAGCCAGGGATCTCGTCGAACCGGACTGACTCGTACTGTGCAGACTCAAGACCGACTTGGGACCAGTGGCCCCGGAAGTTCTGGTGGTAACGCTTGTTGTTCCTGAAGTGCTCCGGGGCGCTCTGGTTCCAAAGCAAGTGCCGGCGGTTTCGGCTTCTCAAAGCTGCGCGCGGTTCTCGGCATCGAAGAAGCGCGGGGTGTCCTCGGCACCCCGCCGGGCCGTGTTCTGAATGATGGTCTGCTGCAGGTGAGGCTGGATCACGACCGTCTGGGTCCTCTGGTTGATGTTGAGGTCGCCGCTTCGTGGTGGTGGTTTTGGTCCGCTTGAAGACGACGGGACGGGAGTGCGGCAACGGTTGCGGCAGCCATCTCCTACTTCCTCCTCTGTGTCCATCTCCGCCAGGCGGACATGGCTGTCCTGGGCCTATCAAGCGGTTTTCGGACGAGTCCCACGACTACCCTGCGGCCTGTTCAGCGACGACCACGCCTTGGCCAGCACCGCGACTGCCGAGATCGTGCGCTCGGAGGCCCACCTCGATGTGAAGCAAAGCCTCCGCCGAGCTCTCCGACCGCCCTCTGGTCAGCACCATGGAGTTCAGCGTGAAGGGCCGGGGGGCGAGTAAAAGCTGAAGTTCGGAGGTGTTGGTCGACGCACAGGTGTCGTAGGCTGTCCCGCCGGCACATAAAGCCACTGTCCTTGACCATGCGTCGCGGGTCTGGAAGTAGGCCGGTCCGTCCAGTACTGCTGGAAGCACCCGCGGATGAGGTGGTCGCTGTCACAGTCAGAACACCTCCAATCCACATCTCTCCCGGGCCTTTCCGAGGTCCTGGACCATCTGGCACGTCCTCGTGATTCTCCATTTCGGGCAGGTCGTCGAGCTCCAGACCAAAGTCCTGAGGGTCGGCCGCTGCCATCGAACGTGGGAACCAACGGCATGCCAGGAAGCAGGCTCCGGTGCCAACTAAGTCAAAGCAGCACAAGCAGTCACGGCGCACAAGACGTCATTTTGCCACGGCGGGCTGCGCAAGAAAACGGAATAAAACGGACTCAAGGCGCGCCCTCTTGAGAGGTCAAGGCCGCCAGAGAGGCCAGAAGGATGCAATCCAACAGCACGCGACTCTAGCCGAATGTTAGCTGTGAGCTCAAGGTTTACGTACGTCACTGAGATTTCTCGGCATGGAGATCCGCGAGGCTCGTGACGACAATGACGAGTTTGCCGGCTACGCGTTAGATCAGGAGTGGTATCTTCTTCAAGAAGTCCTGAGGCATCGACGTGTGCGAGCTGAGGAGAGATCCCTACTACCAGTCACGAAGGAATCAATGAGCCTGTCTGCAGAATTGATCCCCCAGACCTTTGCGCCTGAGGACCTCAAGCTGGCTCAGTCCTTGACGGGAGAGCTGGCATGGATGGCACAACGTTGCAGGCCAGACTTGACGTGTGTGGTGCGTATAATGGCAAGTCTAACCACAAGGGATCCTCTGTTCGGGTTGCCACAATAGAGCGGTACACGTTGGCCTGCCTCAACCACTCGAGTTCCTCGAGACTGAGATTTTGGACGGGACGTCCGCCAACCTTGGTGACGTATACCGATTCGTCCTACGCACCAGACGGAGATCGAAGCCATGGACGGAGTTGCAGTCACGTTTTGGGGGACTTGCCCCATAGCATGGAGGAGTTCTCGACGGCAGCTGGTTACCACCAGCTCGGCAGAGACCGACTTGGTGGCAGAGCATTATGGATGTCAACAGATGGAGTCCATTGATGTGCTCCTCATAGACATGGTGAAACTCCCACCCAACGAGTCATCTACGTGGACAGCGCACTGGCCATAACCCTGGCTACTTCCGAGGGAGGTAGTTGGAGCTCTACGCCAAAGCGTTGAACAGGGCTGGGTAGATGTGGTGTACTGTCCAGGGGATCAACAGTTGGCCGATGGGTTGACGAAGCTGTTAGCTCACAAAGAATGAACCTGATGATGGAGGTTTTTGGGTTATCGGCAATGGCATCACAAGGAGATCAAGTGCGTCTACGGCAAGTCCAAGCACCAGCAGTGCAGCTGCCAGCAGTGCACCAGCCAGCAGAGCAACAGCCAACAGAGCATGGACAATCAGTTGCACCCACAGTTCCCCACACGAATCCCGAGGGCTTGGGTTGTTGTTTGGGTCTCTTGGCGATACTCATCAACTTAGCTAAGGCTGGTGGTGAAGTAACAAACCCGGAAGTCCAAACTGCCCTAGCCATCGACTCTTCGCTGGGACTGTACGGAGCGGTGTTGATGCTTGGGAGTGGTCGTGTTTGCTGGCGCAATCGTGGCGAAGCTGCACGGTGGAGGTCTCTGCAAGAAAATCAAAGCTTTTCAATGAAGGAGATGCGAGAGTTGAATGCCTTGTTGAGGCTCAATCCTGCTCATAGCTGTTGGCCGATGCGACTGGAGTTGATCTTTCTAGGATATTAGCTGGAGACACAAGTTCAGCTTCGTCAATGCCGGGAACAGTGATGGGTGCCCCGCCTCCACCACCAGATCCTTTTAGTGCTTGTGCAGCTGATGAGGAGTTCTTGAGGGAACGAAGGGCACAAAAGCTGCTGCAACGATCGCCTCCTCCTCCTCCTCCTCCTCCTCCTCCTCCTCCTCCTCCTCCTCCTCCTCCTCCGCCTACATATGAAGACTTAGTCGAAGAAGACGATCGGAGGAGAAGGTTTCAATCGGCCTACTGGTTGACCCCGGAACAAGTGTCAGCAGAGGAAAGGGCCTGTCGAACTCGTTCGGTAGGCACGCAGGTCGAGATGCTGAAGGAGATGCCAAAAGTCGTGTTCATAACCCCGTTTGGAACGCGTGTTCATGCTACAAGAGACTAACTGCAGCACGTTGAATCGTTCTATGAAGTTCGTCCAGAAGGAGGTGTGCACGCAGTGCATTCCAGGGCAGAAGGCCCTACCAACCACCTGGCGCCTAAACCCATCATCATCATCATCATCATCATCAACGAACATGACAGTTGCAGAATATGCAGGGGCTCAGGCCCCCTATCTGTGACAGCTGCAAAAGTTGCCGAGGCTTACTTGTCTTAACTGTCACAGATGCAGGGGCTCAGGCTCCCTATCTGTGACATCTGCAGAAGTTGCCGAGGCTCACTTGCCTTAACTGTCACAGCCGGCGAAGTTGCACACTCGAGGGGGAAGAAATTGCCAAACGACAGGTGGTCGGATAGTGCGAAAACGATGCAATTACCGTGCAAAACGCAGATGCTGCGAAGAATGTTTAAACACTCCTTTTCTGCTAAACCTGAAGCGCAACTTCTTCTAAACATCAAAACCAAAATGCCAGCTGTATGTGAGAGGGGCTCGCCAACATCCTTAAATTAAAGCCCAGACCTCGGCTTATAGGGTTTGCTTTTGAAGTGGTGTGTGGTGTATCACGGTGTATCCCCCCACCCCCCCTCCCCGGAAGCAACAACGTGCTAAGGAACGGTGAAAGTATTTTAGATATCGAATAAAAACTAGCTTCCCCCCAACCAATTTCGAGTTCTCGCCGAAAGCCTTCGTAAAACCCAATGTCGAGTTTGCAAAGTCCAGAAATACGTTTGGTGACTATATAAGATGGTCCGACTTCACGAACGTACTGTAAATACCGAGCAAAACGGCTCTTCTGGAGAAGTCCCACCCCCCCACCCCCTCCAAGAGAAAGTCCAGAATCGGGAGCTGGAGATTGCAAATGCGCAGCTTAACTTTGAAGCTTCAAAAGATGTTCTTACATGACGAAAGTGCTGTAAATACCGAGTAAAACGGATGTGTGCAGAGGGGTGGTTGGTAGGGGGGGACGCCAACAAAAACAACAACAACAACAACAACACCAACAACAACAACAACTACTACTACTACTACTACGATTACTTCTATTACTATTATTATTACTACTACTACTACTACTACTACTACTACTCCTGCTGGTGCTGCTACTACTACTACCACACCTACCACTACCACTATGTGGAAGTATATAAGCAGGGCTTCGTCTTCTCGATTTGAACAACGTAGCTATCGCACAGATGGGCCGAGGGCCACGGGATGGGCACCGAATTCCTTTTAGCGCAGAAACACAGTGACATGCGCTCCTGTGCACAGCATGACTTTAGCACGTTGGCTACTGTGCATGCTTGGCTTGCCGATCATGGCATAAGGTTGCCGCTGGCTTCTGCCTATCATGGCTTCGAACTCACTTCGGAAGCCCATCCGCTGCAAAAAAGGTTCCCTTAAGGCACAAGCTCCCATTTATTCTGCGCACTCTACAAAGGGGAAAGGGCCAGGGACATCAACACCCCTCCTTGGGTGGGCGCTTGGCCACCGCATTCACATCGGTCGTTCCGGTAGTAGCAGTAGTAGTAGTAGTTGTAGTAGTAGTAGTAGTAGTAGTAGTAGTAGTAGTAGTAGTAAGCCTACCCACTACCCCTTTTGCATGCATTGCTTTGGGTGGGGTGGGGGTGGGGGAGGGGGGCTGATAACGTACAGGCAGCCTCGAACAGTTATGACCACCCATTTTCGAGTTTTCGCTGAAAGCCCTCGCAAAGGCAAAAGACAACGTAGCAAAGTCCAGAGGTAGGCTTGGCGACTAGAAAGAGGGCTGACGTCACGAAAGCAATGTAAATACCGAGTAAAATGGCTCTTCCGGAGATGTTGTTCGGGGTGTCGGCGTAACAATGTCGTCATCATTCTTCCCGCAACCCCCCCCCACCCCCTGCCAAAAGCAAGTCCAGAATCGGATGCTGGAGTTTGAAAACTCGTTGTTAGTAATGGAGTGTGACATGAGCAAAGAACTTTAAAGACCGAGTAAAAAAGCTTTTCCTCACCCAATTTCGAGTTTTTCGCTGAAAGCCCTCGCAAAGGCAAAAGACAATATAGCAAAATCCAGAGGTAGGCATGGCGACTAATAGCAGACGTCGCGAAAGTGAGGTAAATACCGAGTCAAATGGCTCTTCCGGAGATGTTGTCCGTGGTGTCGGCGTAACGATGTCGTCATCATTCTTCCCGCACCCTCCCACCCACCCCAAAAAGAAAAGTTCCGAAAACGATCCCGGAGTTTCAAAACTCGGGGGTGATTTTTGAGGCTTCATAAGATGTTGCTACATGCCGAAAGTTCTGTAAATGCCGAGTAAAACGGATGTGTGTTACAAGCGTATGTAACACGAGGTAGTGGGTAGGGGGGGGGGGTTGGCTAGTAGTAGTAGTAGTAGTAGTAGTAGTAGTAGTAGTAGTAGTAGTAGTAGTAGTAGTAGTAGTAGTAGTAGGAGTAGGAGTAGTAGTAGAAGTGGAAGTAGTAGTAGTAATAGTAGTAGTGGTAGTAGTAGTAGTAGTAGCAGTAGCAGTAGCAGTATTAGCAGTAGTAGTAGTAGTAGTAGTAGTAGTAGTAGTAGTAGTAGTAGTAGTAGTAGTAGAAGTAGTCGTGTGCACAAGTCGTAGTAGTAGTCGTGGTAGTAGTAGTGGTAGTGGTAGTGGTAGTGGTAGTGGTAGTGGTAGTGGTAGTGGTAGTGGTAGTGGTAGTGGTAGTGGTAGTGGTAGTGGTAGTGGTAGTGGTGGTGGTAGTAGTAGCAGTAGTAGTAGCAGTAGCAGTAGTAGCAGTAGTAGGAGTAGTAGGAGTAGTAGGAGTAGTAGGAGTAGTAGTAGTAGTAGTAGTAGTAGTAGTAGTAGTAGTAGTAGTAGTAGTAGTAGTAGTAGTAGTAGTAGTAGTAGTAGTAAGGCATCCCCCCCGGTGCGACGCCCAAACCTCTTATTTTTGGGACTTGCTGTGGTCGGAAATGCTGTGTTTTACAGCACTTTTTTTCCGCAGTTATCGAAAGTGGCAACTGTTCCTGGTTTCGTGTGTATTTTTATCATATCTTCTAACATTGTTCATCAATCTCGCACCCGAAAATGCTGGTA